TTATTACCTAAAAATACCAGGCAACGATTTTAAACTGATTTGAAATTAGATCGGATATGTTCTTTTCTTTTCAACATAACATTATGGGTTTACAAGATCTCAAAGATCAGCTGTGAGTAGAATTAGGATTCTCTCTAGTTAACTATTAATTTTTCAAGCGGAAGATTTGAATTTATTAGTCTGTTATATCAAGATGAAAGCTATGGTTAGGCTGTGGAGTGTAGGGAATGACCTAAATTTGCAAAGACATGACACTCTTTAGTGGTTTAATATGTAGCTTTTACTTATATTTTCAAATTACCGTTTGGCTAATAGCCCTAATTCTGACGAAACTTGATAACTCTTTTGCGTAGAAGGACGATGTTGGTCATGCATTAGATTAATCTGTTATCGAAGTGACAATAGCAGAAAAATAATACGTGATCACAGGCTTATTTACAGTATTCATTCGACTTCGTGACAACAATAACAGATTTTATGAACCCTCCTTTTACATTGGTTTGCATTGGTGTGTAGTGAGGCATACTTGTCTTTTTCTGAAACACAACAAATGAGATTACTTTGTCAAAACATAAGGAGACAATGTACTTATGTTTAATTTCCGAAAAACCAAAGGTTTACTCTACATTTGCTTTACGATATCTCACAAACATGTACTCCTTCATATTTGGGGGCTATCATTCTTTTATTTCATGCTTTTATCCAGAACAAGTAATTTCTCTTTCGGAAAAGTTTCTGAGGAATAGTTTTGGAGTGTCTAAACACAAATAGTTGAAAATTTTTTGAAGCAGAGTTAGCAAATTAGTAGATGAGTAAAACTGGTGTAATTTCACTTATTACTAGTTGTACCTAGAAAACCTTTGTATATTTGTGTATTTCCAGAAGCAAACTTTCAGAAGTTTGCGAAAGTGAGATAAGTGTGACTTCTTAAGACAATTATCCATTTGGGTTTTCATCATCTTCAGTCAAAAAGTAAATAAATAGAATTTCAGAGACTTGAAATTCGCAGTGGAAAACGGATGAACTTCAAAATTTACCATAGACCATCGGTGGGTGCTTTAATCACATGGTGTTTTCCAAACGGCAATAACTTGATAAATTTTCAAAGCGCACACCTATAAAGTATGCATTTTCGAACAACAGCCCTCTTTTCTAGCCGCATTTCCACGCCACCTAACTTTATGAAGTGTACGTGTGCTTTTATACTGCTGTTTTTCGAACATCCAGTTGTTCAGGATTTCGACAACAACTATTCTCTGAAAGATATGTCTTGCGATATATGTCAAAAGTATACTTAAGTAAACAACTTCGTTAGCTTGCTCTAATGCTCCATTTTACTAGCAGGCTAACTTTGGTTTGACAATACATACCACATTAACATTTATTAGTGGTGACTGCTATTATTAGTTTATAAACATATACATGACTGTTAACTTAAGTGAAGCCTATGAGGATTGCCCCGTATTCACAACCTGACTGATATAAGTAGCTAGCTACGAGGGACACTTAATTCAAGCTGCTACATATTCCAAGTTTGCAGAGTTATTTATACGATTTGCAGCTTAGCAAAACAATCACAAAGGAAAATTAGGCATACTTGATAGCCCTAAATCAGCTCTTCTGTTTCTTAGCTTTCTAAAAAATAGATTGAGAACACCAAAACCAGAATTCAAAAATTCCTATTTAGACATTTAGTAAAACAAACAATATGAGCGAAGAAATATTTCTTTTTCAGTTAGTTCTTCATCAGTGGCTCTACACTAATATATAGCATTTTCAAACGTAAAATTACATACCAATCTAGTGGTGAGAGTTGTTTAGTGACATTTTATCAATCTCAAAGTATCAAGAAGGTGATAAGTGATCAGGTAATTAAGACAACTAACTAAAGCGTAGAATAATTTTAGTAGAAAGATTTTGTGAGTTTTCAAACAGGTTGTTACATAACTGACAGTTTTTATATTAGTAACTAACGCGAAGAAAAAAGAAAATGAATTGTCACATCAATTGGTAAGTTGTTGACGGTAATTAGAGACAGCCGGAGGAGAAAAAGATGGCTAGATTAGTATGTAATTTTACGTTTTGAAAATGCTACATATTAGTGTGGATCCATTGGTGAGGAACTAGTTGAAAAAGAATATTTCTTTGCTCACACTGTTTGTTTTACAAGCAAAATTAACAGTAGGTTGATAGAAATGTTTTCTTCGAAAATATAAGAAAATATGCTCCATTTTCTGCTTGTAAGTAACAATAAAATTGTTCATGAGACAGATTTTTTACAAAAATTATTTACTAACTATGAAATGACATCCAGCGATGTAATGTGGATCAAAGTTTGCTTCTATCTGATTGGCTATGAAAAAATCACCGACCCTTTTTCGAAACGTGCAACACTAAATACTTGAGTAGCCATAGTGTTTTAGAAACATAGAAAAATTAATTGTTTCCCACTATTGTGCTTGCCGTTTGTAACTCTAAAAAGGTTGGTTTCGTCAAGCAAAGTCAAGAACTCACTCGAATTCCGTAAGCTGGCTTCACGAGAATGAGGTCTCCGAGGACAGACAGAGAGGATCTATGAATATTTTGAAATTCGACGCCTTAAGCTCAGTACAAATAAAGCAGTCCATAGCCTGGGGTTGTAGTTGTTTTTTGTTCTCATCAATTCACTAAATTTATCAGAATCTGGTAAACCGTATGTATTTCTTATAGATATTAATTTCGTTTGACAGAAGTAATTCAAATTATATTTCATCAGAATTTTGCACACATTAATTAGCCGGTCACTTGTATTTACCGCCTAGATTTCACAAAATGTTTGACGTATTCTGTCTCTTTCTTTCGTTTGTGGAAACAGTTTTCGACTGAGGCACAAAGCGATGAGTGAAAATTTTGAAAAAAGCTTTAAATATTTTCTAAATAAATATTTGAATTTAACGCAGTCCATTTAACAATATGGGTGAACGATGCTTTGAATACAAGTTTTCGTGAGTTAGTGTAGCTTTTTGAGCAGATGTTCACTACTTTTTATTTAAAAAGATATTTTTTATTTTCTCACCGTCTTTATGGTTATCAACAAAACGTATTTATGTGAATAATTCAATCGGTTAACGTCTGATACATTTTAAAATTACGTAAGCTAGATAATTCGAAGCATTATGCTTTGCAAATGTTCTTCAATTCACCTGTTAGTGTATGGCAAGCACTACACAGGCTTTTTCTAAAATGCTGAGATTTAAAAAACCTTTAAATGTAGTGTAAATTTCTTTCCCATTTTTCCCCCAAAAACTGTTTTCTTCTCAGGGCTGAACTTTACTTAACCATCTAGTTACTTTACTTTTTCATTCTTTACCCTAATTGAATAAAATTCATTTAAGTTTATCCCAAAAATATTGGCTTCGTCTGGAATGAACTAAAGGTGATTTGCAAGAAAGAAAAGTACATAAGATTGATATAAATTAATATATTTATAGTGAATGAAACAAATGTAGAGCTCAACAGTTTACACAGCATTCGTAACATCCATCATTCATTTATTCACAAACTATATTATTTCAATGAGTGTAGACATCGCAGAGAACTGCTGAGGTGAACCTACACCTCAATATCATCTTCACCGAAGCATAGATACGCGTTTCTTATAGTTTTCTTCCCTTTGCTTATGGTATTTTAAACGGTTAAAACTATGACCATGCTTTACTGTGTATAGAGTGTGCTTAATAGAGACTTAGGGTGGAATATTGACGTTTGTGGTGGTGCATGGATTTTAAACTGAAGTGCCTGAGATGAAAGAAGTGCTCAAACTTCACGCTGCTATTAGGTGATTAATTCACGGTCTATTTGAAGCATAAAAAGAACGAAAATAAAAACGCACTAGAACACTACCCACTCAAAGATAATCGGGATAACTTTGTTCTTGTTGTACTATAGTTGTAACTAATGTCTTCTTTCAATATAGAGAGATAATCAAGTCATTAAAATAACTTGTGTTGTAGGTAACCTAAAACGGTTCATGGCTACCTTTTTAATGGTGAATTAGATGAACTTTGCTTTTATCAGCCGGTTTATACAAGTACAGTATGGTCAGTCAGTTAGCTATTTCACATACCAAAGTTCGGTTTCACATAAAACAATAAATTCTTATTCGAATGAATGGTGGGTTATCATGAATGACGGTGAAACTATCTTCCATCTTTTAAGGTGGTGTATGTGAATCTGTTCGCAACAAGAAATGCAAATGGAAACTTGATAGTTCTAAGAATATCCAACTGTGTACTTTTTATTTAATCCTACTGAAATCTTAAAAATAATGAGTACGAAGCATGAAAATGAATATCCTTGAAAAAATGGTAACATTTATTTTACTACTACTTGTGAAAGAGGAGAGTGAAATTTTGTTCAGCACTTGCACAATTCACCCATAAATATATTAGTTTACACTTAAAATGCAGTTTATTTCCCGCTGTTTATTAGCAAAAGTAGGCAAAAATTTTCTTCTGTGTGACTAATAATGATGCCAGTTATAGTTATGATAAGTCGTTTTACGCACTTATGAAAAGTAGCATTTTTTGATGAAATTAAATAAAAACAATATTTATATTCTGATCAGGCTACGTAGATGTTACTGTAATTATTTTAGTCCAATAAAACAAAGACTTGCCTTGTAAAAGTAATCATCTTCAATGCAATGTAAGGAGGTTATTTTTTTTGCACTAAGAATTACTGGAATTTTTCTAAAACTTACATTTACTGTTTATAGTGTATATCTTAAATTGTTTCAATTTTCATTAAAAGTTATTCTTCCTACAAAAAATAGAATTCCATTCCTTTATTATTAAATAAGATTAGCAACTATTGGTTAAAACATTGTGCGTTGGTATTAAATACCCTGAAAACGTTAAAAGTCCCTCAATTCTTGATCTGTTTGGTCACCTTTAAATACGGCTACTATATCATTTCACTTAAACATGTATTTGTTCTGTTTCGCTTTTTTTATCTACCAGTACAAGGGCACTCATTACTCAGGCGATTCTGAACAATGATTTTATGAAACATTTAGATAAAAGACAAATATCGAAAATTGTCGATTCCATGTGCCCTTTACGCTGTAGCAGACTGTCATGGATTATACAGGAAGGTGAAGTTGGTTCTGTTGTGTACGTTTTAGAAGGTAAAACAAATATTTTCGTAAAGTATTTATAATTTAAAAATGTTGAGTTGATTCTCATATCTTCTTTAATATGAATTCCGTAAACACTTTCATTAATAGCATCTTAAAAACACAGTTGTACCTTCTTAGTCATTTCGTCTTATTCACTAGGCAGGGAGTGGTTCGTAATTCCTTGAGATAATACAAATTTCTATGAAACTCTACTGTATAAATTTAAAAATGTATGGTTATAGCAAATTTTGATTTCTCTTTGTCATTTCAATCTGTTAACTTTCATACAGTGTTATGCCTGTCATAACTTAGAAGACTGTTGTTAACTCACAAAGCACTACAGTCAGGCTTTGTAAATCATGCATTGTTCTCTGAGAACCTAAAATAGTTACTTCTGCGGTTTCAGACTTCTTTTTGTGAGCATACATCTTCCCGAATAAAATATATTAGTTTAAAACATATTTAAATACAAAATCGACAAAATAAATAAACCTCACCAATGCCAAATATGAGAAAATGAAAGCTTAGATAAAATAATCAAGTATTTTTTTCTGATCTAAGAAATGACTGCAGTCATTTTCAAAATCCGACCCATAATACAAAAGTCTGCATTTCAGTTTTATGTGTTTTCGCTGGTGATCACTGAAGCCAAATGAGCTGACTAAAAGCTAGTGGTGACGGCAGTAGACCAACAGGTTTTCTGAGTATCGCTGGAGAATTTCGGTTATTTACCCAGACGGCTGTTGTCAGTTCAGTGGAATAAAATGTTTGACATCTGAAAATCTTTGGAACTCTGCCAAATAGTCGGAGGAGAGTTACAAGATAATAAAGATATAAAATTAATTGATTCTTGTTGATGAGAAGTTTAAGCAACTCACCCTATGATTCTACCACCACGTTTACTGTCCAAGGTGCAAACAGATTAGTTGTTATCAGTTCGAAGTTAATAGGATACACTTCAGCTTATTCGATTTTATAGTAACTCATTGCTTTACTTGAGTCAAACTTGAAGGATCTTTTCAGACATAATATCCATGACCTTACTGGCTTCACTATATGAATCAAAGATTCTAGGTTCGCAGGAAAAGTAATGGTTGCCTGACAGAAGGATTCACCATTCAAATATTGCAGTGATACAGATTGTGATATCCTTGAACAACTTCAATCACTTTCATCGCTTGTTTGTTGGCATAACAATTTGCTATTTAAAAACGGATTCTTTATGTTACTTATGGAGATAGCTAGCATGCAAGTAAATTGTGGAACAATAAAATTTTTACAAGAAATCATAACTGGTTGACGGCTTTGATCCAAACCTAAGGAGATATCGTTCATCCTGAATAGGGAGTATGCTTCAAAACTAATTATCCAACGTGTAAAATGTCCTGAGTTTATTCAAGAGCTATTATTATTATTATTAGTCCCTAGTGGAACATAGGGCTTCAGTAGCACGCCTCCAGTGACCTCTGTTCTCTGAGATCTTTTGAACCTGGTTCCACAACAGCCCACAAGCTCTCATCTCCTCCTCACACCATCTCCATGTCACCCTCGGACGTCCAACTCGTCGCTCACCATGGGGATTCCACTCAAGCGACTGGCCTGACGCGTGATGTCCCCAGTCGGCCTTCTCAGTGCATGCTTAATCCATCTCCACTTCCTTCTGCATATTTGTTGCGTGATAAGTTCTTGGTTGGTCAGTTCCCAGAGCACCTTGTTGCTTATTCTTTCTGGCCATCTGATCTTCAGTAGCCAGCGTTGGCAGCTGTTGATGAATGTCTGTAGTTTATTGGAAATCCCTTTCGTGACGCGCCAAGTCTCTGAACCATACAGAAGCACTGACTTGACGTTGGTGTTGAAAATGTGGATCTTGTTCACGCATGCTGAGTGCAGAAGATCTCCACACTGGTTTCAGGCTAATGAACGCCTGTCTTGCTTTTCCGATGCTGACTTTGACATCCTCGTCTGTCCCGCCTGTAGTTGAAACAGTGCTTCCTAGATTGGTGAAGGAGGTTACTTCCTTTAAGTTTCTCCTATTGATAGTGCCTGGAGTTTGTTGTTGTTGTTGTTGATGGTGGTGGTGCGGTACCTTCATCACCTCTTTCTCCTCTATATTCAATTGAAGTCCCGTCTTCGCTGCCTCGCCTCTTCTGTCAACTTGTTAGTTTTTGCCTGTAGATCTTCAAGTTTATGTGACATCAGGCACAAGTCATCGGCGAAATCCAAGTCTTCTAGGTTCTTTTCTGCAGTCCAGCCAGTGTATGCCCCTCTTCTCGCTCCCCACTGTTTGTTGCATGATCCAGTCGACCACAATCAGGAATATCATGGGGGATAGTAGGCAACCTTGTTTCACTCCTGTCTTCACTTCAAAAGCATCACTGAGCTTCCCATTGTGAATTACTTGGCATGTGGTGTTTTCATATAGTTGTTGAATGAGATTGATAAAGGTTTGCGGTACTCCGTAGTAATGAAGCAGTTTCCAAATTACTTCTCGGTCGACGCTGTCAAAGGCCTCCTCGAAGTCGATAAAGTTGAGGTAGAGAGCTGATTGCTATTTTATGCTCTGTTCTATGATGATGCGAAGCGTTGCAATTTGGTCTGCACATGGTCTGTACTTCCTGAAGCCTGCATGTCCCGGTCGTAGTTTTGAATCCAGTGCATCCTTAAGCCTCTCCAGGATGATGCGGCCTAATATTTTGCTTGCTGTGGGTGGACAGGAGAGTGATTCCTCGCCAGTTCTTGCAAGCACTGAGGTCTCCCTTCTTCAGCAGTTTGACTAGGTAATCTTTCTTCCAATCACTAGCCAGGTACCTTCTCTTCCTTCCACACCTTCTGCAATAGTAGTGTGAGCATGTCCGCTGTTGTCTCTGCATCTGCATCTGCTCGTGGTTGCCATCTGGGTGAACGGAGTAAATTACTGACTCTTGAGTTGACAGTTTGAAGAGTCCACTCCTACTCCATCTGCTTTCGCAAATCCCAAACACTTCAATGTGATACCTTCTCATCTCTTTTGCAATCAGGGCAGCCTTGCTGGGTTCAAACATGATGTGGACATCCCATGTCCCCATTCTTATTTTAGTTTTCATCGAGAGAAGAGAAGACACATTGGCCAATTGGCTACCCGAAGGCTTTCACCAACTGGCGTAATTTCGTCTCTCTGATTCCAGCGGGGAATTTGTTTGTTTTTATGTTTTATATTATTTCTGTGCTTTGAAGTTTCTTTAGCGAATGGATTTGTTTTCCGGGTTAGGGTTGCCAGCTCTATGCCCAACCTTCCCTGTTTATCTGGGCTTAAGACCGGTTAGTAACTAGTGAACTAGTTAACCAGGTGAGGTTATTCAAGAGCTAAAGGCCTTCAAAATACGTGCGATAAAACATTACTTTTCCCTGCATGTTTATCTTTTGTCCGATGAACTCCAAATTTATCGTTCACCATGGATAAAACAGCGTAATCCAACTTGGTGAGCATATATCCTGACTTACTAGAAATAACTCACTTTTTACAATATTGGATGATAAGTCTGTTAAACATTCTTTTTCCTTCAGGATCAAAACACAATGCACAAGAGAAGGATTAATTATAGAGTGAAGCGTTACCAATGAACTCAGAGGAAAGCGAATGTTCATGAAAACTTAAGCTTGGTGAAAAAAGCTGTGAATGATGAACACCTAAAGAGGTGACTACGTTGAGATTTTATTTCTAAAGTTGAACAACAGATATATTTTATAGTGAATTTCATCAATGCGTTTATAAGAAGGCATAAATAACTTGTTTAAAAATAAAATCCTTTGGATAATTAATTATTCACCAACTATCAGACGGCGATTTGATATACTGAGCCTACTTAACTAGTTCACTAGTTACTAACCGGTCTTAAGCCCAGATAAACAGGGAAGGTTGGGCATAGAGCTGGCAACCCTAACCCGGAAAACAAATCCATTCGCTAAAGAAACTTCAAAGCACAGAAATAATATAAAACATAAAAACAAACAAATTCCCCGCTGGAATCAGAGAGACGAAATTACGCCAGTTGGGGAAATCCTTCAGGAAGCCAATTAACCGGTGTGTCTTCTCTTCTCTCGATGAAAACTAAAATAAGAATGGGGACATGGAATGTCTGCACCATGTTTGAACCTAGCAAGGTTTGCCCTGATTGCAAAGGAGATGAGAAGACACGGCACAGAATAGAAGTGCTAGGAATCTGCAAGGAATCTGAAGATGGAATGGAAGTGGACTCTCCAAACTGTCAACTGGGGAGGAGAGTCAATAATCTACTCCGATACTGTCACACAGACAACAACCTAGAGCACACTGAGTTTTGCAGTGGCAATCATCATCTCTCCAACAGCATCGAAGGCTCTCATTCAGTGGGAAATAATCTTCTCCTGCAACATCAGGATCATGACAGCAAGATTCAACTCAAAAGGAAGAGAAGTCACAACCACACAATGCTACGTCACACTAAGCTACGCATCTACAAATAATGCGGATCAAGAGAAGAAGGAAATATTCCACAGACAACTGTAATCAGTACTGGACAAGACCGCACACCTGTTGGCGACATCAAAATTGTAATGGATGTGGCGATATACATGCCAAACTGGGAGTGGTCAACACAGGAGGAGAAGCAGTCATGGGACGAGAAGCACTCGGTGAAATGATGAATGAGAATAGAGAAGTGTTTTTCAGACTTCTTCACATTCAACGATTTGGCGATTGGAGGTGAGACAGTGTGTACAAACACAAGGATATTCACAAGGCAGTGACATGGAGTTGATTTCACCAGACACCAGATGGACACGCTACACTAGAAATTAGATCGACTTGATCTCACAGAAGGGAGACCTTAGCTTTTGGAATGACTGACAATGAGTCATGATCCTGTTCCTGTCTACTCAAAGCAAGCAAAATTTTAAGTCGCCTCATCCTGGGAAGATTGAAATATGTGATGGATTCAAAATTACTGCCGAAAAAGACTGGCTGACTGGCTGACTGGCTGGTTGGCTGGCTG